GATTCGTGCTGGATGCAGGCAATAGGCTGAGGGTTCAAGTTCTCAATGTCCACACTTAGATCCAGTGCAGCTGAAGCCCTGTCCTCTTACCATGGAATGTGCGGGAGGAGGTGCGATTTGGGGTGGGGGTGGGGGTGGGGCTTATGCCTCAGGTGTCTCTTCTCAGCTGCTCCCTCTAAGGGACTGGTTCCTGGCTTTCTATCATGCAGTCACTAAGGGAGGTAACACTGGAAACCCTGAAGTAGACTCTTCTGAGTCCTAGATTGAAAGAATCAGCCCTTTTCTGGGATGGGATTCAACCTAACATTCCAGCAATATGGTGTACACTTGTTCTAGGATCCTTTCCTAGCTGTTGCCTGACATGTGAAAGGGGTCCCTACAGAGAAAAACCCTGTCCTGTCCCTATTGTTCTCAGCAGCTGTAGGCTTTCTCTGTAGCCCACTTTGCTGGTCCGGTCCATTGCCACCATTTATCTCAACATCCTCAGTGCTCCTCCTGCTGCAGCAAAGCCAGGCTCCCTTCCCCATGAGCAGCAAGCTGGGAGCCAGGAAGCAGTCCGGACTGTTTTTTCCTTCTGTGTTTTGGTTCATCTCTCAAACTTTTTGGAGAATTTTAATTTTTTTGTAAGTTCCTCTCCTAGGTGGGGTAATTCTCTGACACCTAGGTGTTGGGTAGCCCTGTGCCCTCAGTTCTCTAAAGGGCCCAAGAAAAGTAACTGATTTTTCCAGCTTGTCAAGCTTTTCCTTGTTTTAAGAATGCAACTGACAATTCCTTTGTTTTTTCTTTTCAGTTTTTCTGAGGCAGGGTCTCCCTATATAATGCCGGATGGCCTTGAACTCATTCTGTAGCCTTGGCTGGCCTTGATCTTGTGAAGACACTCCTACCTCAGCCTCCTAAGTGCTGGGATTACAGGAGTGTGCCTCCACATCTGGAAGAGGTGGCAACTTCTAAACTGTCTTCATGTTAGGAGATGAAAGGAAGTCTCTTTTTTATTTGCAATCAGACTTTAGCCACATAAATTTTACTAATTTGTTAGTTTCCCAAAATCTTTATACCAACTTAAAATTGTTCATCATTTGATGTTACTTGTGGTAATTAGTTCTGAATTATCCTATCAGGCACTGCTAGAAGTGGAAATCCAGTTTCTTACACAGCTAAATTAGAAGAAATTCCAATATCTTTTGGATTTTTTTATAATTTCACCTCTGACATGTCAGAAGTTCTCAAGGACTTACTCTAAACACCAAGTGGAAAATGATGTGATCTTATCCATCCATTTGTGTGGTACTGTTTTTCAACTGTCAATGCTTCTGTTCTTGAGAGGTGAGATCACTGTTAAAAAAATGAAAACACTTATCTAGTTTTTCCTTTCTGTGGAGATAATGCCCATTCCATCTAACTAACTCTGTCAAAGGAAGTTGAATCATTTGCTTGAGCTTTAATGAACAGAGGTTCTCACATTTGTGCTTCCAAGTTTGCCCTCACAAATTAGATTTCTCTTCCCAGAGTTGGCTACAGTTCCCTATGATTGCTCATGGAGAATCTTCCAATTTTATCTGCATTGTCTTGAGTTAATATTCTACCATCACTGATTGTTTCTCTCACATGAAATAAAAAAAACTTTGCTAAGTTTCCCTTCTTTCTTGTCTCTAAACATACAACTTCCTCTTGTGGGGGAAATTCTCCTTCAGATGACTTTGATATTCTTTATACTGCACATGAACTATAAGACTTTATTTGATTTTCTTAATTTATTAGAAAGCATCAAATAGTATTAAATGGCTCTGCATAGTGGCACATACCTGTGATCCCAGCACCCTGGAGACTTGAGTTCAAGGCCAACCCAGGCTATATAATGAGTTCAAGGCCACTCTGAACTACATAGTGATAACTAACTCAAAAAAACCAAAACAAAAAAATAGTGTTTCATGTTGATGAAGATAAGTGATTGTGATATTCCTTTAAAACATTAGTGGAAATTAAGAGTTTATGAAAAGCTTCTGAATTGACAAAATAATTCCTGTCTAATTTTTTTATCTTTATTACCATTTCATTCCATTTTTAAGGAATAACTTGGAATAGTAGTAAGACAAAGCAATTCTTAGATGATTCAGTTACCTTAGGTTATGACTGTTTAAAAGTCATAAAAGTCTTCTAAGAATTACCTCGTAATTTAAAGACTGATATGGCTGAGAGATACAGGAAGACATTGTAGACAGAGTTTAATTTAAATCAGCCCAATTACTATATTTTGTCCCTTTTTCACTGTAATCATTTCATCTGAAAGTACACAAAAATTCAATTGCTTTTATATGGGACTAAGAAATAAAAATATCATTGCTTCCAAAAAAGAAACAATAATTGTTTTTATAACACATTTTATAAGATAATTAGCCATTTGCAAAGATAGCACTAACTGAGACTTTTTTGTGCTTATGACTAAAATGCATTTTGAGCAAAAGCCAATCTTAAAACATAATTTCAGAAAAAAGTACAGGTATTCCAAGAACAGATTACAAGGATCATGGCAATTCTATACCAAACAGATAAAAAGCAAAACTGATTTTATAGTATAGGTCTATACAAATAAATAAAATCCTATTTTCTTTTCCTGTATGTATCATCAGATTTGTTACATAAATAATAGGATACTTCATTCCATTGCATAGAATGAACTTCTTAAAAAAAAACCAACTGAACAGAGGTGATAACGCCTAAGATTTATGCTTACTTTTTTTTTGACTTCTATCAATATCCTAATATATTTAACCTAAGCAGAAAATCTTTTCTGTAAATTAGTCACATAAGTCTGCATGTACCTTGAAAAATTTTGCCCAATCACATATATCCCAGGTTGCTTTTGGTTTCCCATCTCTACTTTGCTTCAAACCCCCATGGAAGTTTCTTTTTGATTTCAAGCAGCCTGTACGTTTTCAACCTCCTTTTTGGCTTTTAGGAACTTGTGGCAGGTGATTGCTTTGGCAATTTTTACACCAAGCTCTCAAATAGCTACCTGGTTGCTGAGTTCCTCAGTCTGCTCAACATCCCACTCCTCCACATCCTGGACTATCCTCTTTTCAAAGCCTGACTTTTCAAACCTTTTTCTTTTTAACAGAGGGTTCACATCTATCATTGGCTCCAAAGCTCTGAGTAAGTTCTTTTCACTGGGTTTCATTTAAGGACTGGTCACTCTGAGATCTTTTTTCATTCTTTAGTTTATCTTTCTTTTCTTTTTCCTCTTGAATCTTGCGGCTGAAGTTTTCTGTTCAGAAGGCTTTTTATCCAATTCTTGAAATTTGTTCCACATATTTAAGGGAATTCCAAAAGGGCACTCTCCATATTCATTTGCTTTGGCCTCTGTTTCAGTTTTTGGTTCATCTGCTGAGAAACCTGAGATTTCTGTTTCTCTAATGATCTCGTCTTCTTTACCTTCCTGTAAGTTATGCTCAAGGTTCTGTAATGTGGCCTCGTCTTCAGAATCCACCTTAGTGTCACTTTCATTTAGGCCAAGAGGCAGCAGTCCACTCCACATCTTTTCTTTGATCGGGAAAAGAACTCATGGCACCCATTTTTTTTTTTATGCCCAGCTTCCATGTTGGAATTTTTCTTCACCTCTATAATCATTTTTTTTGACAATTTAATTTCACCTTTCAGCTTAGTAATCCTAGTCTTACTCAATTATATATAATCAAATATATATATATATATGTGTGTGTGTGTGTGTATGTATAGTACTGGGAATTGAACTCAGGATCTTGAACTTGCCAGGCAGATGCTTATGCCACTGAGCTATATCCCTGACCTCTACTCAATTTTAAAATTTGTATTATTTTGAAAAATTTTTGGTTGTCTTTGAAAAAATCTATGACTGATTTATTTATTTTCATTAAGAAATCCCCCTCCCCCAATCACTTCTCTCATTATCTTTTAGAATGTATTTAAAATTTTTTTGAAATGCATTTTTAAAATGATTGATTTACTACTAGTTTCCTATGAATTACAGAAAAACATAATTCATAGGAGTTTATTTTTGTCCTTACCCAAAATGATGTAGAATACTTGGTTAGGAAGATTGTATAAGGTAAAGGTACTTTTGAGCTTGTGGCATATTAAAAATATCAGAGAGAGATGGTTGCAAATTGGAAATGTAAGCCATGATTTTAAAAGTGTTAGATGATGATTGTTATTTAGCCTATAGGAATAATTGGCTTTTCACTTTCTTTTTCTTAAAGGTTTTCTTTTCTTTTCTTTTTTAGACAGAGTCTTGCTATGTAATTCAGGCTGACCTAGAACTCGTGGCAGTCCTCCTACCTCAGCCTCTTGAGTACTGGGATCACAGCTGTGCCACCATGTCTGGCTCCCTTTCTTGGGTCTTATCTGTGCAAACATGTTCTTCACCTTCCAGTTCTTTTTTTTATTTCTTCCTCTTCCTCCTCTTCATCTTTTTCTCCCTGGCATCCACTTTAAGACCTTTCCAACCTCATGCCTCTCAAATTCTTGATCTATATTTATATAACTAAAAAGACCACCCAGTGAATTCAGAAGATTTAAAATGTACTATGTTTATCCTCAGGAAAATGCTGTTGGCTTTCAAATGGAATTTTCTTAGAAAGGAAGTGGTACATGCCTTTTTCATCTTAATTTGCATTTAAAAATTAATAGTGAGATTAAATGAGGAGAAAGACTGGATCCTGACTTCTTGGCTCAAATCTCACTGTGTTGTTTCTTCCTATTTAATTTAGGCTATTTTATTAATTCATTTTCTATATCTGCAAAGTATTTAATAACTACTTGCTTCATAGAATTGTTACAGGAATTAAACATTGGTGTTTGTGGAATGTTTAGAGCAGTGCCTTGCAATACTATGTGCTGTATAAAACAGGTTGATTACTTTGAATTGAGGAAATGGGAGAGACAGAATTTTGACCAAGGAATGTTTGGCCTTGAAATTTGTACTTTCTCCGCAGTATTGTATATATATTCTGTTAGCTAAAGTTGGCTTACTTCCTGGACACATACTCACCCAAACCAAGCACTTTATAGATACCTGCTTTCAGTTCCTGAATCCTAAGGGCATATACCATGGGGTTAAGGGATGGAGGGATGACTGTATGCAGCACATTGAGGAGAACAGGGATGAGAGGGATCTTTCTTCCTGCCAGGTGAGTGACAGATAGTAAAATAATAGCTGTGTAGAAGAAGAGAATGAGGATAAGGTGGGGGCTGCAGGTACTCATGGCTTTAGATATTGCTTCAGCAGAGTTCAGCCTCAGCACTGAATGAATAATCAAAGCATAGGAAGCAAAGACCAAAATCATGTCACACCCAGCCACGAACCAGGCCAACACCAATTGATAGAGCTTGTTAATGATGATGTTATCACAGGCCAGACTGGTGACACCCAAATTAGAGCACAGACAGTGATCAATTTCATTTCTGGAGCAATAGTGTCTCTGGGCGGCCAGGATAGGCACTGGGATGATTAACAGGCCATTCCTGAGGACCACAGACACTGTAGATTTGATTACAAAAGCATCAGTGACTATGAAGGGATACTGAAGGGGATAACATATGGCTATGTATCTATCCACTGCCATGCAGAGGAAGATGCCTGACTCCATGAACATGAAAAAGTTGATGGCATAGATTTGAGTGAAACAGTGGGGTAGGCTGATGGTTTTAGCATCAAACCACAGGATGGCCAGAATCTTGGGCATGCTGGTAGTAGCCAAGCCAATGTCTACTACAGCCAAGACAGCAAGGAACTGATACATGGGCTGGTGCAGGGCAGGCTCATGGGAGATGGTGATTAAGATAAGGAGATTAGCACCAAGAGCTAAGAGGTAGAGCAGAGCCATCGGTAAGGAGAGCCAGTCCTGCCACTGGTGAATGCCAGGGAATCCCATCAGGATGAATTCAGACACTTGAAACTCTGACTTATTAATTGTATTTGGGACAATATCCATATCATGAGATGTCTCCTCAGCATCTGCCTGTGAATGAAGGGCAAACAGAAAAAAAGGCTGTTGTTAGTTATGCGAATGGTAGATGAATAAAAGCCATCTGCAACACAGCTCTTTTTTAGTATAAGTCATTCTCAATCCCTTAGAGACACTTGGAAAAATCTTGGATAAGGACAGAAGGGCCAAAATCAATTCTAATGTAGAGATGTTCAGAGAAGAATAGTGAAGATATACTAACTTTATTTTCCTGAAATCTGGAAGCAGAATTCTGGAAGCAGGAGACATGTGCTTTAGAAAGGGCCTTATATTCAACACAGAAAATTAGAGGGAGGACAAAAGTGTTAACACCATTCTGGGTAATTTTCAGGAAGGGAGTAAGCAGTCAAGATAGATCCTCTGTCCACGCTTTTCATTTAAGCAGTGTCTTGTGGTAGGCAAATGGTTTCTGACACAAAGCATCTCATCAATCTTTACTGTACAAATGTTTTCATGTATATAATGTGAAACAGGTTGAGTGAATTATCTAGATGGCATTTATAATTAGAAACACCAAACCATGGAAGAAATTTATGTTTTTTTCATTTAGTACTAACAATATGGCCATGTGATTTTAGTCAATAAATTAATGTCTTGTAGAAATATCATTTATTTCCTCTTCTGATTATGAATGTTATGCTAAATTGCTGGATGAAATTATGTTATAAGAAATTATCCATTAAAGGAGGTGGAGGGGGAAAGGTAGGAAGGGAAAAGGGAAAAAAGGGGAATAGAAGGCAAAAATCTACAAAAGCTTTAGTTTTATAAATAAGGGAAGAAAGAAGGTTTTAAGGGAACAGAAGAAATAATAGAAGCAAAGCTTTTGTAAATAAGGGAGCAGTGCAGCATTAAAGGGAGGGGAGGGTAATGAGGAACGACACAGAAGAATCAAAAATATATTACGTACAGTACAAATTCCGTAAGCTGATTGTGATCACTATGTATATGCATTAAAATTAATTATGAAACAATTTGCTCATCGCAGACAAGTACCAACCATATGATTTCACTCATTTGTGGGTTGTAAAATACAGGTCTCATAGAGTAGAAAGTAGATTCATAGTTACCAGAACTGCAAATGATCATAGGAAGGACAGAGGAATGGGCTTACTGTATCTAAAAAAAATGTATTGCTATGCATTTCAAAATAGCTAGAAGAGAGTATTTTGAATATTTTCATTACAAGGAAATGATAGATATCTGAGGTGATGGATGTACTAATTGCTCTAATTTGTGTACTCGTATAGAGGTATTGCAACATCATATTGTAAATGTACAATGATTATGTGACAATTACACATAAAATGAAAACAAAAAATGAATGGCATAATCTAGATGGTAGATGTAAGAGTTTGCTTAAATTTCTTCATAATATTATGTGCTTAAAAATTTATACAGTGTTGAACAAAATGAAAAAAACATGTTTGAAACTGTATTTTTAAATAATTAGATTTTTAAAAGATACATGAGGGGGGAATTACCAACAAATTTCCAATCCCTGCCAGATTTTGTGTAGAATAGTTTAGCAGCATAGCGAGAATTTATTGCAGTCATTTAGATTTTTTGCTTAGGTCATTTCATGGCCCACTCTAGGCCCTATAATACTAGATCCTCTTCAGTTTTGATTTTGTTCATTCTTTGATAGTTGGAAAATATTTTAAAGTAATTACATCAAAAAGCATCATGCTTTGAGAATACTTGAATATATGAGAAAGTATTTTATTTCACTTATCTTTAAATACTGCTTACCCTTCAAAAAAGTAAGGATCAATTATCCCTTCCCAAATCCCTGCCTTTGTTTTTTATTTCATAGCACTAAGTATAAGGTCAGGCCTTTGTCCCCCACCACCTCTGAGAACAATGAATGACTCTGTCACTTACTGATTATAAGTATGTATGACTCATGTAATTTATAAAGAAAAACAAGAAAAAGAAAATAACATTTTTAGAAGACAAAAAATAAAAATGTAAATCAAAATCTTAGCAACCAAATATGAGGATCCTTAATATTATAAAATACTTAATTTTCAGCATTTTTCTTTGTAGGTTTCTTAGATTATTATTTTGTATACATAGAGATCTTTATCCAACACTTTTTTCTTAGCATATAGTATATACAGGTCCATTGCCATATTCATTGAAAAATTCTTTATAAATGTTTAACATTCTATATGAATATATTTCAATAATTACCAAATGTTAACAAATGGTTTTGTAATATATTCTCCAATTTTTTGATGATAGTTTGAAAATGGTGCAAAATATTTATATATCCATATGCTGTGATATATATTTTTATCTTTAAGAACATCTACTATCTTTTAAGTTTAAATAAGTCTCTTGAAGTAAATTATGGGTAATATCTACGAGATGTGAACATGCTAAATTTATGTGGAAAGTTTTTGTTTTGGTATTGGGAATCAAACTCATGACCTTGAACTTGCCAGGCAGGCGACCTACCACTGAGCTATAGCCCTGGCCCCAGAAATCTTTTTTCTATGAGTACATTCATATTATTCTTAGAAGAGGATCTGTTTAGCTTTCTCAAATTCTGAAAACATTCTATTATCCAAATTAGAAACAGCTACAGAATATCATTCCTTACCAAAATTTTTGATCAGTATTAATTTCCCCATGATTTTAAATTTTTAATATTTAACCTTTCCACTTTGTTACTGAACTTGTTTACCTGTGATTAATTTTGCTTTTAAGGAGAGCCATGTAAATAAATTGATTTCAAATAATGAACCAATAAGTTTTGTTTATATCTTTAATCAGTGATTATTATGCCTCCTTCGTCATATATTGAATATATATACATATATGTATATTTATATACATACATATGCTAATTTTATTTCTGTGAATCCAATTTTTCTATTTCTTTCTGGCTATTTTTGTTTCAACACCACAATACAATAAATGTACAACACAACAAGATTCTGTTCTTTTTACTATTTTCTTCAATTTTAGAACTTTCTCATGCATTTATTCTCCAGACTACAGAATTTCCTTGCTGAGTTCTAAAATAGCGTGCAGTTGCTACTGAAATTATATTAAATCTGCAGGGAAGTTTTGAAAGAAAAAGTTTGGTACATTATATCAAAGCTCTTCATAAATATGAATCATTTCTTCTTTTTTTAAATCTTAAAAACTCTATACACAGTTCTATATTTCATTGTTCTTATTAGGCTTATTACTATTTTTAGGGGTTTTTAGTGCTATCATTGCTTCTCTTCATAATGTGTATCAGGGTTTATTATAGTGACCCATTAATAGATCATTTTAATTATTCTTTTGTTGTTTCCTTTAGTATTCATCTACTTTGATAAAGTTGTGCTGTTTCAAAATGTTTTATGATATTTTGTTATATATTATATTAACCAAGTCATTATTGCAGAAAATAAATACCTTGTATTTATTACTTTGTATATTACATTCTACTTGTTTGGTACTCTATGCTATCCATTTTGATGAATTAATTTTCATTCTTACAATTTTCCCACTGAGACTGGTATTTAGAAGAATTTCTAGGTGGTTAGAACAAAAAGTTAGTTGCAAATAGTACTTTACTTCTGTAAATATTTGTCTGTTAATTTTTGTTTCAAATCTTAATGAAATGTTGGATGTTCATGATTAGCATAAGAGAAGTTACGATGACATATATTATGACTTTTTGCATAGAGATCATGAGCACCATGAATAATGTAATCTTTATTTTTCAAAGTTTTAACTTGTATACATTATATTTTATTTATTTTTTAAATTTTAAACTTTTTTTATTAGTGCATGTTGGCAGTATATATGGATTACATTCATTAATTGTACATAACATTTTATTTATTGTTTTTTATACATAACATTTTAAAAAACCTTTTAAAAGTTGTCTTTATTGAAGAATAATATACACACAGTAAAACACACTTATTTCAGGTGTGTGATTCAATGAATTTCAATAAACGTATCACTCAGGTTGTCTCCCATACAATGTAAATAAGAAACACATACTCTGTTCTCTTCACACATAATTCTAAATCAGGCAAAGTTCATTTATCATTATAGAAAACAGATCATTTTTTTGCCTGTAGATGAGAATTGAAAACTTACTACAAAGGGGCACAACAGAATTTTTTGTATTGCAAATATATATATATATATATATATATATATATATATATATATATAAGATATTGTATTTTTTGACATTCTTCCCTCTCTTTCCTCTGTCTCTTTTCTTCATTACTGTTTAGTGGGACTTCAGCCACAATTTACATTAACTATGATTGTTCTTTTTAAAAGTTGCATGTCTTTTATTAGACAAAATTTTTATGTTTTGGGAAACGGGTACAAATGTTTGTCTCTAGACTGTTCAATTTGTCAGTTATTAGCTGACTCTCTTAGAACCTAGCCTGAATTCTCTCCTGTTTGCTAATTGCAGATGTTCTCAACAAAAGTGAAGAGCTGAGAGAAGGGAAAGAAAGCAAAGTTGATTGAGAAGCAAGAGATTATACAATGTGATCAAACACAGAGATCAGGACAGAATGACAGGACATCTATTTCCGCATCTCTCACTTGCCGATGATTTACTAGTTCACTTACTACTTCAGGAGAGGCTATGCAGAGGTTCTCTGGCCAGCAATGTCTCCTGTAATTGCTTCTACTTTCCTGGCTTCAACTACTTATTTCACTCTGTTGTCCGGACAGGATCCCTGTCCTCGCTTATCACCCCTGAACTCGGGTTTCATTATAAATTGTACCCCTGAGATGGATGGGGTTGGTGTGCCACTTTCTGGCCCCTCTTTCCTCTATCCTAAGTATCCTTGAGGGTCCAGTGCTTTTAATATCATATCCCTTCGGGAACTGGACTAAGTACTCTTTGGAACTGGATAATTTCTAGACGTAGTCTCATTCAGCCTTAGTCCCAGTGGGCAATTCACCAACTACACAGCTTTTTGCCACAAGTTCCTTAGGCAGTGTGGCTCACTCCTGCCTGATCGATTGTGGCCTCTCATTGTAAGAAAGTTCTAAAGTTTTCCCAAGTGAAAATACAGCTTTACTTCATACCTCAATACACTGTGAGTGGTATTGTTTTCTTCGTTGCTTTATTGGTGTACAGGAACAGTATTGATTTTTGAGTGATGATTTTGTATCCTATTACTTCAATTTATTAGCTCTAGGAGTCTTTGGTGGAATTTGTTAGGTTGCCTATGTAAAGAATCATGTGAAAAAAGATCATTTGATTTCTTTTTCTATATGTGTCTCTTGCATTTCTTTCCCTTTCCTCACTCTTCTGACTAAATTTTTGAGTGCTGTATTGGACAGGAATGATGACACTGACCGTCCTTGTCTTATTCCTGACCTTAGAAGTAAAGTTTTTAGTTTTTCCCATCTAATGTTTGCCAAGTTCCTATGTGTACTTTGCCAGGTCATCACGGCGCCACTCCAAATGGCGAAGGGACCAGAAAAAACAACTTACCTGACTTCCTTTTGCTTTTTTCCTTAACCCAGAATAGACTTCCTGCCCCTTTTCCCATGCGTCAAAGTCAAAGTACCCTCCAATCTGCCACTAACACTACCCCGCTGCCCGACCGACCCTGAACTCCTCCGCTGGCCAGATGTGATAAAGGCATCTGTACTCCTTTTTCCCCTCAGAGGGTGCTGGTGTCTCTTGTACACTCTCCCATGCCTGCAATAAAGGCCTCTTTTCTTTTTTGTCTTATTTTATGACAATATCTTATCATTATTGATCAGAGGCTTGTTATAAGTGGCATTTATCAGTTGTGGATAAAGTTCTTCTATACTTATTTCCTTTAGGATTTTTATCAGAATGGATGTTAGATTTTGTCAAATGGTTTTTATGCATCTGTTGAAAGGTCATGTGATTTTTGTCCTTGGTTCTATTTATGATATACTACATTTATTGATTTGCATCCCTGGGGTGAACCCTAATCAAGATGTGTGATGTTTTTAAGGCTTTCTTGCATTTTTTATTTTAAAGAGAAAAAAAAAATAAACCAAATTTCGAAAAACGTTAGTAGGACAGTTAAAATAGTTGCCATATTGGGTATTGTTCTCTTCTTAGTAGTTACTCAGAGTACAGGATATAGGTACGATGTAGGTACAGGATAGCTATGATATGCTGTCTAAATGATATTAGCACAATTTTTTGTTTCAAGGAACAGATAGAAGCTAGCTGTATAATTATGTTAACTGTCTTGTGTCTAGTTTGCCAATATCACGATGAAGATCTTTGCATGTGTGTTGATTATGAAGACTGGCCTGTAGTTTTCTTTTTTAGTTGAGTCCTCTAATTTTGGAATCAAAGTAGTGTTAGATTCTAGGAATGAGTTTGGCAGTAGTCACTTCCTTTTAAATTTGTTAAAGAGTTTAAGGATTTTTGATATTAGATCTTCCCTGAAGTTTTTGTGGAATTCCACAGCCCATGAGCCAAGTCCCTACTGAGATGCCTCCGTGTGAATAACTTTTCCCAAAGTTCTATCATATGGATTTCAGACAAGTTCCAACAGCATAGCATGATGGAAATTTCCATCTTTTTCAGTATTCCATATTCTACCTCTTCCAATAAGATACGGATTTTAGCTCAGGATTCCTCTTCCTTGGGGAATCTATTGCCTTTCTAGTGGCTGTGGATACTCTTTAGACCTGTCCTCCTTATATTTTTCTGTCCTTATTAACAATATCCTTTCATACTACAAGCACATATTTATAAAAAAAGTTTAGCGTATTTATTTTTGAATTGTTTAGAAATATAATTTAAAATTTTTATCTCCTTTTGTGCTCTTTCTTTTTAAACTTAGAGAGTATTCTGTAACACAAAACAGGTTTGTTTCATATTGTTTAATTGTGTACTTTAATTACCTGGATGTCCCATTTTGATGAGAATTTTTGCGGACATTTAAATTGTTTCCATTATTTTAATCTTTGAAGTGTTGCAATAAGTGTTTGTTCTTAAATTTTGTATATATAGATGAGTTTAGCCATAGAATAATTTCCCAAAACTGAATTGGTGAGCCAAACGGGAAGAAAAATTGCCAAAGTGTCTTTTAAAAGGTTATTTTGGTCTTCTACACAGTATTAGAAACACTCTGTAGATACAATAAAACGTTGCTTCTTAGATACATTGTAGTGCTTTTTACATCCAGAATTCGTTCATGAGTTTATCACATGCATGACTAAATAATTTTCATTTTAAGATGTTTTAATAGGATAAACTAAAATTGATATTCAATTTTGTCCTAGTTTTCACTTTATTTTCACAAACTTTAACATATTAAAAGATTTTGTTTTCAATCATATTCTTATTCATTAATTTTCTATATTTCTTATTAATCTTTTTATATTGTTATAGTCACTTTACCACCTATTAAATGAAATATTCTTACCACAGAGTCTAACAACACAGCTTTATTAATTTCCATGTTTTTCATTGTATTTTGTGGTTATTCTTTGTATCTGTTGAATTTTTTGAAACTGTTTCCTTCAGTTCATTTTCCATTAAATTCTATTTATCTTTTTTTAAAGTTACCCACACAAATATATTTAAAATTTTATATAGTCATGACAATTATACTTTTAAAATTATTTCATGGCTTTCAAACTTTTAATAATAGAAATTCAATATTTTAATAACTAATTTACAAAATTTTATTTTGAAAATATTTTTAAACCAATTTGAAATTTAACATGAGTTTATACTTTTGTACAAATAATTTAGTAGAGTAATAAGCAAATTACTTAATTTCTGTTGTCTTGTCTGGCCCACCTGTAGCTATAACAACCTAGAAAGAGCATGAACCAAAAATGAGTACAAATTTATTCTCCTGGTGTCATTGGTAACTTTGTTTGGGATTGGTGGAATTATAGCAGCCTGCTACTTAGATATAATTCTCTAAGCTATTTTATTTCATGGGAGAATTGGGCCCTTCTGTAATAGATACAGTGAAAAGAACAGACAGATGACAGTTTGGCAAGCGAGTAGGGGAGGTGCTGTTTCTACTGGGAACTTAGTAACACAATCCTATTCATTCTAACTGACAGGATGCACCTGGGACACCTTTGGCCTTGGATAGACACTGCCAGGCAGTCTGATAGTCAAAACTTAGGTTTCAAAAGGGATGCTACAACCAACTAAAAACTGAATGGCTGCTTTGAGCCCATCCTTCTATTTGTTCTTCCTGTTTCTGTGCGAGTTTTAACTGGTGACCTTCAAATGTATCTATGACTTCATTAGCTTCTTACCTTTATTGACTTATTAACACTGATGCATTTTTTCATCAGTCTAATATTCAACACTTTGAATTCTTACTCAGCAGTATAGCCCAACTGGTAGGCATTCTTAATTTTTCCCTCTGTCATAAAATAATGCACCGACATTCTAAAATTGAACCTATATAATTTATAATTACTTAGCATCTATAATCCAGAATAATCATACCCTTTGGAAACAATGGTTTCTGTATAATCTCCTTGTCTATAAAGTTTTTGTTTATATTATCACATATAATAAAATCCAATAAGATACAATATGTTAAGACTGATGGAGACAGAAGAACAAAAGCTTGATGTGACTTCAAAACAAGATGATATTAAATCAGCACTAGCTATTATGATGTCTTGTTTTCTCCAAAATAGCTGTTCCTGCCATCCAACCTTCTCTGCCTCATTTCTGTTGAGCTCTTTTTCTGTCATTAGTTGTCAGTTTGTCTTCTTCATTTTGCTTTCTGCTCCATTCATTGTGGCCTCTCTGCCACTGTTTCTGGAATCTTGGTATTTTTCATTTTTAGAATATCCTGCAGTAATCTCTGTAGAGTTAAATTGGTGGTTGCAAATTCCTCTAGTTCCTCTTTATCCTGGAAGCACCTTGTTTCTCCATCAATTTCTAGGGACAGTTGTGCAGGATATATCAATCTTGGCTAGAGGTTATTATCTTTCAAAGCTTGAATTATTTCCCCCCACACTCTTCATGATTTGATGGTTTGTGCTGAGAAGTCTGCTATAATTTTGATGGGTGTTCCCTTGTAAGTGATCTGTTTCTTGTCTCTGATGGCTTTTAATATTCTGTTCTTATATTGGATTTCTGGAATTTTGATTATTATATGCCTGGGTGTAGTTCTGTTTGGACTGTAGGTAGCTGGGGTCCTGTATGCCTCATACATCTGAGTATCTTTACCTTTTGCTAAATTAGGGAAATTCTCCTGGATTATTTCTGTGAATAGCTTTTGTAGTCCATTTGTTTGTGTTCCTACTTCTTCTTTTATGTTCTTAAGTTATAGATCCTCTTATCATCTTCTAGCCTTTGTATTATTGCTGTTTGTTTCCTTGTTGTTTTCAAGAAGTTTTTCATTTCATGCTCCCACATTACAAATCTGTCCTCCAGTTCAGATAATCTATCCTTAATTTCTTTCAAGCTGTTATGCCAGCTTTCAATAGAGCTTTTAGTTTCCTGGTAATCTCTTTGAACCTGCTTCATGTATTCTATGTTTTCTCTATTTTCTCCATCAAACAATTCTCCCCTTTTTTTCTGTTCTTCCATTCCACCATCTGATTTTTCTTGGGTGGTGCTTAGCACTTCTCTAACTATTCTACTTATATCTTGCTTTACTTCATTAAATACTTCACTCTTGAACTTGTCTATGAGGCTCCAGAGATATCGCTTTATGTCTATTGGTGCCGTGTCTGACATTGCATGCTTTCTGTCCTCATTCTCCTTTGCATTCACCTTTCCTGGATCAGTGTTCTCAGGATTGGGGACCGAGGACCCTTTCTTGTTGCCTCCTCTTCTCATATTTTTTGTTCCTTCCATACAGGCGTATATAGGAGGCCCAGTTTCTTTCTTTGTGGGTTACAGTTTGTTTGAATCCACCAGCTAGGTGTTCCTGCCAACTGCAGCATACTAGGGAGACACAGATCAGGGCAGCATATGTTGGGCCCACCTCTCCAGGTCAACCTACTGCAGGATTCACTGCTAGGGTGCACCGCCAGGTGCTGGGAACTGGTTTGGGCTAGCCTACTGGATCTTAGTCCGTGGCTTCACCCAGGTCAGGGACTCCCCACCAATCCTGCTTGAGAGGGGAATATGCAACTAAAGTCACTGCAGCACCCTGTTCCAGCTAGTCTGCCCGGTCCCAGAATGTCCTCTGTTGGAGCCTCCTTATCTATGGAGGGGTCCCCATTCCTCTCACCGCAGGTCAATGCAGGACTCCTTGCCAGTCCCACTCTCAACTCCATTCGCCAATTCCCACTCTTAGAGCTTTCGCATCTCTAACCCTGCTGTGGCAATTCAGATGCATCAGGGGCAACAGGAAATCGCGGTTTCCAGAGGCGCGGGTTCCAGCTTCAGCACTGAGATTTTATCTGTTCTGGTCATAG